TATAAACACATATTTGCATCGGAACTTCAATCAATAACATATAATCCGCAAAATGGTTTTAATTTGCTATTTATAATAATTATGTTCCTTCGAAAATAGAAGCAACATATTATCAAAATAATCTTTTATTGCAGGAACCATCGCTTGAACACTTGTAGAATATTTTGACTGCATCGCATTCACAGTTAGCAGTTTCTGCGTGTATCGAGATAAAATTAACAATTAAATAATCTGTAAACAGTCCCTCCCGTACCCATGAATTCTGCAAAGTAAACATATTTCAAACAAACGCGAGAAAATCCGTCAACATAATATAATATTTTTGTTCCCAGTTTAGTATTAAAAGACTTTTGAGAGTAATTTCAGATTCACGATGCACTAATGGTTCATCAATTTTCTTAATTAGCTATTCAATTTAAACAGTGCTATTAAATTCCGTTAAATTCTTAAAACTCGATTATTTTTTTTATCATGACGATATGAAGTATAAATAAATATTACTTTTAATTACTTTTAATAAAAAAAAAGTGACGAAATTGTATTTGAGTTGTATGTATTGAGATATGTTTTTGATTTGAAAGACTTAATGCAGAATGTATTATACGACTTGAAAGAATGCATTCGCTTACATAAATAACATAAAACAATGACATATTTTTTCATTTGGGTGGTTTTATAATTCGAGTGTCACGTGTCTGTCACATTTTGCTATGTAAATATAATATTTTATTAGCGCTCTCCGTTATTAAGATTAAATGAGAGCTGATTGAAATAAGTCAGTAAAGTCGTAGCTTAATGCCCTAATACTGTTTATTCAAAACGGTCTGAAACGATCCTAAGAACAAAATTTATCTTTTAATCTCAGAGTAACATGAAAAGATAACTTTGATTTTAGATATAAAAACGTAAGCAAAACAAGAATTCATAAAGAAACAACGCATTGTGCGTTGCCAGAGATTAGGTACAGTTAAAAACTCCGTTACAATCCTAAAACGAGATTACGTGACGGAGTGTAAATAACAAATCTGCTGATCCCTGCGAAAATCCCGTTTTCAAACATATTCTTGCAAAGTGCCATTTTATTTAGCCTAATGCTAAAAGGATTAAAACATTCGGTTAAACGACTAATTCATTTAAAGGCTTGAAAGTGGCCAATCTCGCATGCCTTTAAAAATACAGTTTTTTGTCATTCTTAATTTTTGGCAATATGCTTGTCTTGCTTGTTTATCATTTCCATCGTTAGAAATGTTTTAACTGTCTTTCAAATGTCAATATTAATTATCGATAATCGTTAAGGTGTTGCGAAGACCGTAGATATGGCTAAGTTTCTTTTGTTGTGTCTCCGATAACGAGATGATTTGGGCCGTTGATATGTTAATCATTTCGTATTAATTACGAAGGCCCTCTTAGCTGTAACACCAGGGAAAGGTGGCTTAAATGGCAAGCGTGTACAAGAAGCGACATTTAGAAATAACTATGCTGAATAATGATGTTGTTAACAATCCGGCTGTTTAGATAAACGCCTAATCCATAGGCATTTTATACAATTAATGTATATCTATTATAACGAAAAAACTTTCAAGAAATTTATATTTAACTTATCTCTCTACATTTCGGATAAAATAAATTTCGCTTGAGCAAATACAAAAATTGACTTTAAATTGAATTAATTCATAACAAATCTATCAAGTATAACAAAAAATTAAAAAATATTTTAACAGACACGAAGAACAGAGGCTGTGCATAATTAATGTCAAAGTCTTCTCGGAGGCTTCGGGACATGTAGGAATGAGTGCAGTACTGTCTGAAAGCCACGAAAGGAGTCGGTGGCCTATTTCGATTTAATGCCATTCGATAACAATTCGATCCGAGTTGAGCGTAAGACGATTTTGCCACGGCGATGCGGTTTAAAGGGCGCAGGTGACGGCGGCGGCATTTATCCACTTCCGCGCGATCCGAGAGCCGACACTGGGTTAGTTCGTGAGCGCACAGCCCGTATGTGCGACTGTGGGAACGGGCGCTTTGTGTCTGCCTACAGGCTGGTCCTGCTTTTGCGAAAGTCTTAAATTCCGCAATACTCTTCCCGCATCTTCTGCGACACATCACGATTACAATTAACGATACTTATGGTAACGTTAAAAAATATCCGATGGGACCGAAACGCCGGAATAGTTTTTGTTCGTTTATTTTTCAATACAACTGATTGAAATCGCTCTATTAAAAATTTTACTAGATATGTCACAGCACAAAAAAACGTATTTTTATTGAATATATAAGATAATTATTTGTGACACATAAAAGATGTTAAAATTAATTACTTTAATCTTTTTCGACTAGCTTTTTTGGAAACGGTTTGTTAAAGCGTAAATGGTAATGTAAAAATCAAAGTACCTGAATATTTTCACATATCGTCCCTCTGATCGCGATTTTAACACACCCTATGAATCGGACGAGATTTCTCAAGCCTAATTAACGGCGTTCGCCACCTCGGTCGCGATGCGCGAACAATTGTGTAGCCGTAGTGTTCAAATGCGCAATTATATCGGCTCGTTTTGGTACCCATAGAAAACGCCAGCGACCCCTTTCGTACTTTTTACCTTTGAAAAAACACTAAGGATCCTATACAATCCTATAACAAATTAAAAGCTACAAATTATTGTTCTAGAAAACTTTACTACAAAGCTATGGATATTATAAAAATATCGGGTTATGTTCCGTTTTAATAACAGTACTACTTAACATGAGTCGATTATCTTTAAATATCGCCACATTAATTATCAATCTCGCGAGAATAATATGTATCGTGTCGCAAAAAATAAAAGAATCATAGTATCTTATCAATACATTTTATACTATAATGAACTTCTGCCGCAACAAACAAAACATCCATAACTATTTAGCATACACCTACTATAAACGGACCGATTGAATCTTTCGTTTAACATCGAATTAAATACTGATCGACATACCCAAAAAGTAAGCCCGACTACAAATCTGCGACATATTAATCGTCACAAACAGACCGATTCGGTCGCACAAAGCATCGATATCTCGCCGATTCGTCTCTCGCACTAGTCGCGAATCGAGAGGATCGACCTATCGGCGACACGGGCGATGTGCAAGCGATAAGGGCAAACCGCGAGTTGCGCCGATGACCCACTGCGCTAACTTAATAGGACATCGCACTCTCGACGCCAGACGTTTTGATTCATTAACCCTGTACCGTCCGTTTGCACACTGTTACAACAACAGATTGCGTTAGTTCTTTTTCATCGTCGTGCCAACTTAAATTGCAAAATATGAAACTTAAATTAACAAAAGTCGATAAACTTACGTGCGACCGTTCTATTCTTGTTAACATTTTCCATCAGGCTTCAGAGACCCATTAACAGATATCATACATTAGCAAAATAAGTCCAACAAAATATTCCGTTCGAAACGATTGAAAGAAAGGCGTTTCTTAAGAAAGTCGATGTCCTACGAAATGTGGGATAGTGAGGAGCCGCGTGTGAAACCGCGTCACAGGGCCGCGACGTGAGCGCTCCCGGCGGCGAAAACCGCTACCGATTATTTTGCTAAGTACACACGCTACACACGCGGCTATAAGCTTATATATTCTGCATTTTTTTCTTTGCTAACGACTACCACGATGACTGACGGCGGGCAATGAGCCTATGGTACGGTCGCGCAGTTAAATCCTTTTCTCCTGCGTTGAAGACAAAATATTAGTGTCTTCAAAGATGTTTTTACAATGCACTCTATCGGAAATGCAGTCTATGTCACATAATAATAACGAAAACAACATTTTTAAACTGCTTTTAAAATTGAGTAATTCTTTTTGTCGACAAATGTGTTCCTTTCGGCGTACCAATCTTAAAGCGCATTTAGATGATTAACAACCTATCATAAAATACTAACGAACTCGCATTCGAAATCGTAAAGATAAATCGCGAATTAGCATTTTAAACAGAAAGCGATAACCTAAAAATAGCCTAAAAAAGGAAAACACGTGATATCTCATTAAAATGACGGACCTTTGAATCGTAAGGTTGACATGATCGTTTGATGTTCACTTTACTCTTATCAGCAGGGTTTTTTTGCAAAAGAGCCTTCCTTGATTGCTTTATGTTAATTTTTTAAAAATAAAATATTAACTGAGACATTAAGTTTTAGACTTCAAAGTTTGCAAGAGGTGTGTAGGTACACCTGTTAAAATACATTTTCGTGAATAAGGTAAAATTGAAAACTTCAATTAATTAACACATGCGTATATTTTTATATTACCACACGTACGCTACATTTGTTCTAACACTTCCCGCGTTATAAATTATACGATAAAATAACTTTATTCTATGTTTCATTTTTAATTTTTTGCGAATAGAGTTGCTTTTATGGCCCTTTCTGCAAATTGCAACAATAATATCGGGGAGAGGTTAAGTGTGATGCACAATGTTTTTCCGCATGCGTAGGGTTGCCAAAGCTTCGGTCGCCGCCCGATGAATATTAATAAATTCAAGAAATGACCTTTTAAATGAATTTTTCATAAAGTTTTAAAAGAAGTCATACAAACTTATATAAATTTATATTGCAATAATCTGAATTAAATTTATCTATTACGTATTTCAAACAAAATACAGACAGGTTCGTCTTAGAAGATATTATAATAAAGATTATTATTATTAATAGGCAACATATATACTTTTTTGTTGCCTATTTTTTAAGATATGTCATCATTTAATGTAAGAAAGTAATCTTTAACTGTTGCTTAAAAGATACACCGTGACGGCGTATTTTTAAAATTAAATATCATAAAGTCTAATTAATTGCAGAGACATGCACCTCTCGTCAGGCTTATTCAGTCGCGACTTGGGCAGATCATTGAACTTAACGGGGGCAGCCCTAGCGGGGCAAACTGCAAATTGCGGCAGCAGTCACGTGTGGCGGCCTCTCGGGGGCTACCGTCGACGTTCGCACAGTTTCGGAAGCATTAGGGCCCATTAAGCACCGTTAACACGAGGGCACGTCACGAGCTCACGACTCTTGCGGCGTGAGCGGTCTATCGCCGATCTCGCGGTAGCCCGGGCCGATTCACACGGAACACGTCTCGGCGCGCCGCTGACGGGGCCACTCCTGACTGCAGGCCGGTAGACTGTCTGCTGACTATTGCTACACCGATACCATGTATCTAATATAGTAAACTTGCTGAAGATACAGCATTTCGCGATGACACTGCAATAATGACAGAGCTCTCTGCGTGACTTTATTACACACGATAGTCAATGCATTGTCAATGATTGAGGAGTAAAGTTAAAAAGTGAAACAGTTTTAGTGAACTGTTGTTGAGTCAATTAAAGTGTAATTCTAAGCAAGGTATGTTCATGAGTGCCATTGCCATTGTCATAGCATGGTGATATAGCCAACCATATTTAAACGATGTTCCAAGCACAAGCCAAATCTTCACCCTCTTAAAATTGGCGACTTCTTTTGCTACAAACTCCTTTTACATCGCTGAGTCAAACTGGACCGAGCAGAAACCCTTCGCAAATGGAGAGGAGGATCACAAGAGCGGGCCGAAATCCGGTTGGCACCGTCGAAATTAGTGCACGAAGCATTCTGTCCGACTCGTGACTCCTTAACATTTATCGCCGCACCGTAAACAGACTCGGCGGGCGAAAAACGCTGAAGATGTACAAATATGGCACGCTTCGGGTTCACGACGGGTTCCGCCAGCTTGCCCGCGTTTCGTAGGACCGTGGAAAGTTCATCCGTCGAGATGACATGAATAGGAACGTAAGCGCCGCTACCGGCACATTGTATGTTAATCTGGTATTCATAATTGCGTTCGAAGCATGCGGCATGCGAGTGACATGTGCGCTTGTTTCTCCAATTAGGGATTTCACCGAACCCTCAAGCTCGCAGTTTTCGCCGGCTTTTTGCGACGCCGGCAATCGACGTCTTGTGTTACAATGAATTAATTCCGATCTAAAACCGTAATATAGATAAGGGAGTAAACACGGCTCGTTTAATTGCCCGGAGCGTTTATGTTTACAGCTCAATCGTTCAACGTCGCGGGGATTTGAGTCGGCCGTGTGTTGGTTCGACAAACGTTGTAACTCTTACGTTTCGAACGCCGTCTAAATTGAACTTTATCGCTTTATAGCGATGGTTACGTATGAAAGTTGTGCAAGTTATCTATCAGCTGGTACAAGCTGTTCAAATGCTGTATCGGTCTTAGCCTGTTAGGTCTTAATTAACTGTTGAACCTTATAAATGCAATAGAAATATTTAAAGGAGCTCTTAAATGTTATATTGATAAAGAAATAGCTCTTGTAGTTGTTCGATATAGTTATTAAAGTATTAGGTATTGCTTGTTGCATATCCTACGCCGAGCTGCGGTCTGCGGGGCTCTGTAACAGTAGTAGCTGATGATTAAGTGCCTCGGAGTGGCACAGCCCAGTGCTCCCGTGATCGCTGGGACCCTAATACAGTCTGTCGGCTAGCCGCGGCCTTGTCAGTTAGCTGCGCTGCTAACCGCAATATAGGTCGGCTCGTGGCGTTATTATACTACGATTTAATGGTTTTACAATACCGGCTATAGTTGCCTTTTTTTTAATCGACCTAATGGCAGTCGAATAGTCATAGATTAAATAAGAAAACAATTTCAAACAATTGTATTATAATTGATTTGCAAACGTCTCGAACAGTCGAAGTTGTTCTCCGTGACACAGATGGATAATGAACATACTGTTTTCGATCATATTAATCGCGATCAATGCAAATATGTACAAGTACGCGGAAATAAGTAATTAAATTTATATCGATTTAGAAAAAAATTAGTAATTTAGTGAAAATCGATTTGATAATGTTTCGCTAAAAATCGATCGTATCGAATGTTATGATTTTAAAAAAAATTATTGTTACACACGAATAATATACCAAAATAATTCTATCCTTTACAGATTTGGCCGTATATGTCTCTATAACAATTACATTTAACTTTATGGTATACATGGAACTAATTGACTCACAATTTTTCATATGATATGAAAGCAAATTCTCAATGCAAATAAACATAAATATATTAATGGTGAAATAACTGAGTATAAACAGCCATAAAGCATTTTTCATAATGTGACGAAAATCCGCATTTATTCGAGCATCATCGAAACAACTCACAAATGGTATATTAGAAGGCCCTCTTTATTAAAGTGTGGCAACCCTACGGGTGTTTTAAATGTCCATGGACGGCGATTATCACTTAACATCCCATGAACCGCCAGCTCGCTAGCCACCTTTTCATATAAAAAAAAATAAGGTAATCGCATTTTAAAGACAACAGAAAACAATTGTGTTTTCAAACTTTGGATACATCAGTGTCTGTTTTACCAAACTTAAGGCTTAACAAAACTTTCCCCGGCAACGCGGACATGTAGCTATATTGGTATCGATTCATTTAACTGGGAAATAGTGTTCTCAGGCTAAGACTATAAACACGTGTCCTTAGAAACAGTCTCGGATTAGGCTTGGATTGAGCTTGCATTTGTGATGTCAATCTCTATGGTTGACTTATGGTATATTATTATATCGTTCGTGTAACATTAAAACAAGAAGAAAAATATGTCTTATCAAGCATCACGGTTATTACAAATTAAAAGCAGATTGCCAATTTAGTGACTTGTACCTATTTTTTTTTTTTTTTTTTTTTTTTTTTTTCAATTAAAACTATAAACCGAAAAGTTTAAATACTATATCGGCGCAATTTTTTAATTTTTTTGTGTAATTACACAACACAAAAATATTAAAAATTTCATTTTAGTACAGCTCTCCTAAGTTTGTCAACATTAACAGCAAATTAACACTTATTCGTCGTTTAAACATCTAGTCAGTGTGACTTTAAAAGATTTTCCAGCACGTATTGCAAAAATCTTTGCCAGGTGGTTGGAAATGTACTCCAAACGCGCATTCAGTACCGAGTATACCAAGCATCACAGTTATTTATAGCGCTTAGTTTTCAAATCATCTTAGTTAAGAGATGTTAGTGTATATAATAAAACTAATTATGTTTTATAAGTTGAAATTGCTTGTGACGACACGTTTGTTCATATGGTAGTTACTTCGAATAGACAATGTTAAACGTGCTCCATAAATTTTATTTTATTTTAGCGTTTAATCATAAATAAGCATTCAAATTACGAGCTCTACAGCATCAGGCCACGGCGCAGACTCGCTGACTGGAGCTGCCTAAGTGCAGTTGATAATAATATAGGAAAGATTTATTGTGGAAAACATTGTGAGGGAAAAGAGGTATTGTGGAAAAAGTTGTGTGGGGGGAAAAAGGTATTGTAGAAAACTTTGTGTGGGGGAAAGAGGTATTGTAGAAAACATTGTGTGGGGGAAAGAGGTATTGTATAAAACATTGTGTGGCTACTCACCTATGTTGACGCAAGTTATCCTGCCGTTTGAAACTTTTCCCACAGACCTCGCAGCTGAAGGTCAGCTCCGGGCTCTTGTGGGTGCGCTCGTGTATCATCAAGTTGTAGGACTTGGTGAATCTGCGCTGGCAGTACTTGCAGACGAACTCACACTTGGGGCGCAGTTTACGCCTAAAGTCCCGTGTATGATCCTCGTCGATTTGCATCACGGCGAACATTTTGTCTGGTCTATGGTGCTTGCGCGACGTGCAGGGCGTGGAAGCCTGTGGCGGGAGGAAAGAAGCTTTAGCTGTTATACGTGACCTCGCCAATTTACACTTTAACTGTACACAATACGATCTAAAATTAAAACAACCTAACTCGCCATGTAACAACTCCGATTTTACGAAGCATAGTAACTCAAATTTATGTTCGTATTAAACCAATCGACGCGTAATACTGATTTACGACCGTGTGGATTACTACAATCGCAAGCAATAATACCGTTGCATCAAATGCTTATGTAAATGCCGTCAATGACTACGAACATGGAAGCGGCTAATGTTCATTGGGCAATTAGCGTACGTTTTAATTCGGCATCATTATCGGATACGCACCTAAGAGCTTATTACGATACCACCGAGTAGGGCCCCGCTGCGGCACTTTCACTCGAACCGAACTCGAACTCGATTGGGTACGTGACTGCGCGTAACTGTACTGGCGGCAGCGAAGTCGGGGGTGCGCGGAATGGAGTACCGTCAGCGCGTGCGACTGGGAGCGGGTGCGTTTGGCAACTGCGCCGGCACGAGGGTGGTGGGACCGCTGATAAGGTTACGCGGAAGGCGCGCTGCCCCCACCATCGGGCGCAGGTAGCGGGACGGTAGGCCGACGCCTCGCGTCGGGAAACGCGAAGCGTCGGGTTCCGCAGTGGACGGCCGAATGTCGCGCCGCCAGTGCTCCGCATTATTGACGAACAGAGTCGCACCGCGCAATAGTAGTGGTCATCGCGGACTGCCGTTGCGAGGTGCTGCGGCTTCGATCCCCGCGGGAAAATGTTTGTATGGCCGAATAAATGGGTCTAAGTCGACTTGTACTTTGTATGCGTGATTTCGCTTTTGGGTCTCGGCGATACAGATTACTTTTTACCTTCGGTCGAAGTTTCTGTTTTAAGTAAATATATTTAATGTTTCAATGCCAACAGAAAAATTCATTATATAAAAAATACATTACAGAGTTAGATCAATCTGTCGAGTTTTTGCACTTTTGCTTAGAAATCAATAAGAGTAATGCTGTAAATAAATGCATTTAATTTTTAATATTCGTCGATCTAAATTTATTGTAGCATTAGTCCCGTTAAACTAATTAGTCTTCATATTCGAGCGTATTTTAAAATAATTATACCATTTTAGAAGTTCTTTTTTACACTGTACTTTTTATTTCTTTAGTCCAAGTGATTAAAATAAATAGATTCAAATTTGCAAGACATACCATTGATTTTTATTTTTGAATAAATAAAAATTAGCGTGAAATACAAATTTTATCTATATTCAAAATATTCTTCTTCAATGTTATAATCTAAAGCAGATGTTTCTTCATCGTTTTATTCGAGCAAGATTTGCTATGTGGTTTAAATTTCCCTTTATGAATCACACAAGAGCTCATATGTACTCCATGGTGACCTATGTAGTTGACGTAGCATCAGTAATCTCCCCTTTTTATTGAATTACAGCTTTTTAATTCAAAATAACAGATGTTCAATCTGTTATTTTGAATTTTCAGTAAGCAACCGTTAAATACTTGTCAGGTGTTTGACATGAATCGAGATTTTACAGGTTACCCGACTGGGCTATAGATATATATACAAACAAACTATTGAGAAATGAAACAAACTATTGGGCCTTCACTCGTGTACACTATTCGTTATAAATAAAAGTATTTTATGAAAATATTTCACCTCAATAGGATTTTATTTTATTAAGCTTTTCATAACAGTAATAAAGTGTACTGTCCCCCATAGTAGGACTAGGAAACTAGGCACCACCCATAAAAGATTCCAAAATCTACAAAACGAAATGTGACAATCAACGTGGAAGACTGGGCTATACCGTATGGGCGAAATCACGACTCAACACAGGTAACACTTAGCGGTCGGTTCTGGCTCGCGGCTGCGGCGCTCCTCACGCACCCTGACCCACGTTTCGGAAACGGACCCGCAACCGGCAAATTGGACGCCGGCTTCTGTTGCCGCCGCGCCCTGGGGGACACTTACCTGCCGCTCTGACCACAGCATTCGCGCGAAATCGTAACGTCTTTCTTAATTAGCAAAGAAACGAAGAAAGGAATACACAGAGCCGCTTATCCGTATTACATTTCAAAAATGGCGACGTGGTAGGGTTTTCGTGCATAAAATGTAAAGTTTAAATTGAACACAGAAATTATAACACAAAACAACGAAATTATAACAGTTACAAGATAGATTTAGGGAAGCGTATTGAGATGACTAAATAGTTTTGTTTACACACTGCAAACGTTGAATAAAACCAATGACCAAAACCACTTTATCAACATCAATAATTGTTTATAGTTTTAGTTTATAATGTACAATGAGAATTATTCGTAATAAAAATGAAAATTTGATTTTGGAATAAGCATGCTAGAAATGAGTTAATGATTAACAACAAATTAACTGTTATTACACTGTACGTTGCTCTTCCATTATTGAAATTTCCACATCGTAATATTACTATAAAATTTAACTCCCAGTTAAGGTGCGAAACCGCGCTCTTTGCGCGTTCATTGAGCACTATTCAAACCGCCTTCATGACCGCTAAACCGCTCTAACATCGTAATGGGACTTCATACTTACATAAAATTCAATGTAAGCTTATGTCAACGTGCTAACGTTGCAGTAATAATACCTCAGATACTTCCTAATTGAATATTAGTGGCCTTTAGACTGACAAATACAGTTGAAAACAAAGTTTGTGGTTATGAACGATTAATTTTCCAACACTTATTATAGAAACATTCCTCTTTTTAACAAGCTTTAGGACGCGAGATAGAAGGTATTGGCCTTTCAGTGCGGTTAAAGACGACAGAGCTGGCACCTAGATCTAATCAAAGTCTCTTAACTAAGAAGCTGTTCTATTATATTATGTAGTAAATTTAAACATAACGACTGATAACATTTCTGTATATTATTTCGTGAAGGTATTTTTCGGTACGCATTAACGTCCATAATTATTATTAATCAAATTTAATGATTCAAACACCAATTTAAAGCCACTATTAACAAAAAATAGACATGTAGAATATAGTATTTTCTTCTTCTAAAAACGTTACCGGTCAAAATAAGATACCTTTCATTGATAATTGCTTTAAACGTCATTTTATTACCGTTCGGGAAAATTTCGCAGATTAACTCATGCGAAGAGTTAAGGTTAACGCGAAAGCAAATTTTTATGGGGTCAAAAAGACAGAGTATTTTATTTAACGAATACCTATAATAGTGACAGTTAGACATCTATTGAATTTATTCGTTGAAAACATCATTATAACTTTATACCATGTTAGGGGTACGCAGCAGTCTTTGCTGTTGCATGAATTGGCAGACTTTGGCAGAAAGGACCACGATCTAACCAGGACCTATTTTATTAAAAGATCGCAACGCATCTGCAACAGATACCCATAGGCGGCGATTATCATTTAACATCAGGTGAACCGCTAGTTCGCTTGGCATCTTCTCACAAAAAAAAACTTATGATACCTCTTTATATTAAAAGAATCGCAATTTTCTAGACTGCGACGAAGAGCTCTAATTCATGCAATGTAATCTTTGTAAAAGCTATAAAGATAATCTGGCAGTACTTTTTATTTATTTTTAAAAGCTCCGTTAATCTTTTGGCCAAGGCCAATTGCATATACGAGCTAACATCATCAGCTGCTCGTTCTGAATCTGTCCGACGATAAGATTAAAAACGTCTTCCATCACGACTGGAAGTAGCCACATGCCTTTTTTACTTCGAATACGTTAAAGAGGCGCGCAATCTTTACATCGGAGTGATTTCGACCTCCCTTTACGGTAACAAAGACAGGGTACGTTTAATTCCTGATCTACATACGATACGAGGATCGGGCGGCTCGCATCAAGCCGCCCACCGAAAATGGAATTGGACGACGTTACATATAATGGTGGTCGCGGAAACCAAATGGAGAGACTCTCGAAAAGTTTGTATTCAGTCCGTCTGCAAAAATAACTGGTTACGCAATAATAACCCTTTTGCTTGGAATTGGGGTCCGTGATTGTGATAATTCTCTGCCGTTTATACGAATGATAATCTCCTATATAACACATTTAAATAAAGCTAGTTCATGGATCTTATCGCGGCTTATTTTAATTTAACCATAACGGAACGGACTAATGTATTTGATGTGTTGGTGTCACTGTTAACTCAGGGTACCGTCAGCTCGAAAATTATTAATTTACTTCCTTTTAAATGATTTGAAATCTTGCAATAGCAACGCAGGTAACTAATTCATATTCACATTAGTGCGAAACCACCGATTTATTGAGTGGCGATGATATAGACGGATACAATACAAATTCTTTCGTTATTATTAACATCACTGGTATATTGAGATGTTAATGTTACGTCATAAACGAATAATCCGCGATCTTTCCTCCACAGATAAGATCTTTAAGTTTTAACGTAATGAGTACAAGCGGATCTTCAGGTGAGTCAGAACATGGACCTCATTGTAGGCTCCTCAAAAACTGTTGTGACTCACTATGTGCGGCCAAACCACGAACATTAGGTTTCATAGAATAATTGCTCATGAAACCCGACGACACGTCCATATAATTGAGAAATATACGCTATAGTCTCACCTCGAAATGTGTGTATAAACAATATCTTCGCATAAACGGACTCGCTTCGCGTAAATGATAAACGATAGACTTTAGGCGATATGTACAGGTTCAAACCCCACCCGGGATAAGGATTTAGCTTGATCTGTTCTAGTTCCGATTTGGCTATTTGTCTTTGTAAAACCATTCCATAATACGCGGTTATCTTAGGTTTAAAAAAAAGAAAATAAGCAATCTATTCTGAATGTCCAGACTTAAATGAAACCTAAACCTGACTCTCAATAAAACTAACTACTAAATCTGTTATAGCTATTATTAGAAAATAATATTTTAATTTAATTTCACTTTACATGTTTAATGTTATATAAAAAAAAGAACATCAGTATTTCCTCACTGAATATCTTCGTTTGACACATAACTGATGAATTTGGCCGATAGAATACATCTGTTAATAATGCCACACCCAATAAATTAAAACTTTAATAATAATACAAAAGTGCGAAGATTCTGAACTGAATTAAAAAAACAATTAACAGTAATTTCAACACACAAGCTTATTGCAGATGTACATAAATATGGTAAAACATATGAAACATAATAAATTCTTAGTCAAAAATGATGTTATTCTTCTACTATAGAAATGTAACTCCGACGTTCGAATGAATTATTAGCCCTGCGTAATAAACTAATTACAAACAAAACGTTCACGGGTCAAAAGCGACGGTGACAATAATTATGTTTATCGTATAATAAAATTTGACAGTTATGATGCGTCACTCAAAGTGAGATTCCTGCGGTTTCGAGGTTTGTTTTAAATGTTACGAGTCGAGACAATCGTTAATTAAACAACGAGAGAAGAGAACGTCGGCGACACGGAAAATAAAATTGACTAAACACTTATTTTCTGACCTTTATCGGCGGAAGGCGTTTAACTTATTCACATAATCATTTTCTGTGAGAGTAGATAAGTACTATACGGGATGCTTGACTTTGATGTGTCGAGTGAAGAGCACAACTTAAAAACAAATAGTTTTTCAAAAAGTAAAGAAGGAAAATATTCGACAAAAAACGACATCAATGTTAAGATTATATCTTTTAGCGTAATTACCTAATAGGTATAATAGCAAATTTAGTATAGTACATGTAAAATTTGAAAGCAATCATTCGTACAATATAATTTGTTATTGAACAAACGGAGTACGCAACCGCCTCTTTCTATATCGGTTGGATGTGCAAACAGGGCTTCGGTGTAATATGCTCATTTCGTCTCATTAAGAACATTGTAGTGAGGATCTCGCACCTCCATTATCTGCGCGAACACAGCGTACAGAGCCCTTAATGATCACAACAAAAACTGCCACTCCGAACTTAATTACGCAAAATTCCACAAACGAATAAGCAAATGGTACTACTAAAACGAAATCGTTATCGCGATTGTTGTGTTGGCAACATTGTACGCGGCAGCGGCTTTTTAGACGACGATGAATTCCAAGCGCGCACCATTTCGCGCATTACACGCGCCGCTATTGCAACCATTGTCTCGACTGGGCAATGTACATCGAATTAATGGCGATCCACGAAGATGCGCCGACAGTTGTAAAACAGCGCAATAAATCACGGTCGCCATGTTTTTTATCTTCAACTATTGAAGTGTGGATAGAATGACGGCAGTAAACCACGTAGGATTTTATTTCTAATATATGCATTATGACCACTCGTTCCTAATAAAACTGATTTTATTGTAAGACTGCTTTATACTGTGATACTTGACTCATTTATTTTAGCGCCAAGTCTTAAAGTTATCAGCTTTGAAAGCTTGGTTTATGGATTGTTTACGCAGTAATTTAAATATAAATTTAGTTCCTATTTTTAAAAGGTTTTTTCTATATGACTTTTTTTAAAAGTTTTGTCTTGGTAAATTTCGTCGCATTTTTTTGGTTTTATGCTCGTCAAATTTACGATTATTATGTGGGTAGATCACGCCTATGAACTGTCCTGTTTATTTCAGTAGGTACAAAATGCGAATTGGCAGACTTCATAATTTTGAAATATGTTTTATTCTTCCGAAAATATGCAGATTCCCTCATGACGTTTCCCTTCACCGATGAGCACGTGATAATTCAGCACTTAAGATAACAACGTCATCGGTAAGCGCTAACAGTACTCGCTTTTAACTCAGTATACTCCGTGTTATTTTTTTTTTTTTATAAATATTTAAGTTATTTGTAGTTATCTTTAACGCGATTAATCGTAAAAACGATGATTTCGACTCGCACGTATTCTAGATAGGTATACTCAATAGGCTGACTGACCGCATAAAATAGTCACGACCCAAAACTCTGTATAATATACTCCTAAAGCATAGTATATAATATACTATAACAGATTGTAGCCGAAAAAGCACACCTTTACTTGAAAGGACTAGAAAAGTTTGTCGCTTTATACATTTTTTAATTTCACTAAACAATAAACGAAGTATATATTCATAATTATTTAAACTAAGCGTCTCCATTCGTACTAAATTTGGTACAAAATAACAAAAAAAAAGAGAAAATTTCAAATATCGAATGAACACGTCCGAGTCCGAGCGCACAATATTTATCAAGCGATTGTGTCCGGCGTTAGGGCCGCGTCTAATGCGGCCCATTATCGAGCTTCGCGGGCTTTGTTCGCTTTTCACGGGGTCCCCGGAGCCAGCGTGTGGCCGCGGCGTCCAGCCAGGACTTCGGCTTTCTCGGAACGTCGCTAGTGTTTTGGTGAGCGGCGCGATAATTGTCGCTATATTGGTAACGGTGCTGGCCGTATAAAAGTATGCCATTGCCACTTAAATATTTTAATTTATTCAATACAGAATTGTGGGGAAGAAGGGCTCCAATTACAGATTAGAACGCAATATCGCGCTGAGAACTTATTTATTTTAAATTCTAGAAACATATTCAATATGTCAGTACAAATCTTCAACATTTTCCCGCAATTGTTGTAGATTCCATATTGGAGACAAAACTTACTAGATGAGTTTACTAGATGAAAAGTTTGGTGAAGAAAAAATGTTCAATCTTCATTTGAGTTGGGCGTACGGAAATCCATAGACTTGGATGAGGAGTAAGTATAAAAATAAAATTTTAATATGTATTTTGCACATTACAATAATAAAACTATTTCGAATACACGAGTACATAGGTCGATCGCCGGTCCTTTTAGCAAGGTAATGCCTGCCTTCGTACTTTGTTTTTTCTTTTGTTGTATCATCAAATTGTATTCTGTATCGCGCGTGCGCTCCCCTTGTGCGTTTCGACATGAAATTTTATGTTTATCATTCTATTTGACATTTCTAAACGAACAATGAGCGTTATCCTCTCTCCCTCCTATTGATAGCCATCTGCATTGTGTGAAGAAGGACGGAATGCGATTGTTGGCTTGTCCTTTAGTTTTTTGATCGGAGAATACCAGGCGGCGAGCTGAATCACGCCGTAATAATGTGGAATTACTTTTAATTCCTCATTCATTACGTTCATAATTCAATATACAAAACAAAAACATGCGAAAAATCCCATGTATATATATTTACAACGCTCATTATATCAGAAATGATGGCAGAACTTTTATTACTGCACGTAAAATTACATACTGATCGCAAACATTCTCTCAATTTTTAATTATGCTCATGTTTCATTGTAATAAATTTTGACCGCAAAATTTTATTGGCATATTAAAAACTTATAAGTTAACCTTTCCATTCCGTTTAGTCTCACACCTAAGTTACGCAACCATCGGTGTTCCAATATCCGCTCCAGTCCGAACGGAGAATTTATCGGGCTTTATGATTGTTGATTTTATGTTATTATTGTTCTGTAAAAACGATATAAAAAAGAGAAGACAATAATTGTGATAAACACGGCCGCAGTAACTTGACGTTTATTCTCCCGACAGACGTCATTCAATGAACCGACAGTTTGTGACGAACATAACTTGAAACAAGGCTGAACTAAATATCGATTTTGACTTCGACTTTCATAGTGCACTCTAGTACGAGGCGGTATAATATAACAATTTAAATTCAAGTTCGCCGGACTGAGCCGGGACCAAATTATAATATACAAATGAGCGGGTGAGCAGAAATAACGAAACAGTTTATGTCCCGCGCGTTCCCACAGGAACGGTATGCGCCGGGATCTGAACAACGGAAAGTGTGGAGTCGATACCTCACTCAAACTTTTGACCAGAATCAATTATTGACAGCGCTTTTACATATAGGTATGCTACGGATAATTTTGTGGCGTGGAATTAATTTGATTTTAGACGGTCCAATTTGGACTACTACACTATAATTGGCAAGGTTTATAATAGACTGTTTATAATGAATGAATGAATGAAATATACTTTATATATAATAAAAATGACTGTTCAAATTATCTCTGTTGTCGCTATAACAACAAATACTGAAAAACAGAATAAAAAAATATTATCCCATACAACAGATATGATTTTTTAACTTTTTATAGATAATGGTTTGGAACCCTTCGTGCGCGAGTCGGACTCGCACTCGGCCGGTTTTTTTCCAAATTATCAACCTAGGTTATTAGGTTAGGAATATTAGGTTCGTATTGATGGCCAATTCTCTTAGATGCATAAATCACAGCCACTTACTATTGCCTTGCTCATGTACCGATATTTTCGAGAATTTTCGAGTTCAGTAGAAAGAGAACTATCCCTGCCTACCATGTAAGGATTTAAATCTTGAGTAGGTACTTGTTCTAATAATAAATAGTATTTTTATGCGAGCGATATTATTTATTATTAAGGCGACTCCACCGCACTCACTGTGCCGAGGCGCGGAGTATCTGAGTGTCGGCTGATATATTGGAGCTTGGCTCGTAGCCTCCGGCGAAGCGCTCGCCCGCTCTCGCCCACTGCGCTCACAGCCCAAGACCGTTGCCGTGTCTAACAACGTATTACGTTTACGGACCTTTAAAAATAACCTATCAAGCGTATTAACCCTAACAAGGCGAACAGAGACAGTATCGGTTTGCATTGTAGACGTATTAAAAAGCCAATTAAATCCTAGACAAAGTATTCAAACACGAGACCACGACGTGGTCGGATTATTCGGTAAGCCGTTTATAATTTGCTGTTTATTGTTTCAAAATGTATGTTAACAGTAGTTAAGTGTCAATAGTTCGATAATAATTAGAGGCATAGGTCCCCAAGAAGCTTGTTAACAAATCTATGATATATATAGTTATAAAATTATAGTTATAAAGCCAATTAACATTCAGAAAATACTTGCCACAACTTTGCCCTTGTCAAAAATGTTCAAAGACCAAATTATTCATCATAGATCGCCTATCAATTGTAATTCGAACCGAATATTAAAATTACAAAATAATACTTATTGAAAACTTTACTAAAGATCCTAGAAAATGTGGAAATGCCGATAAAGAAACAACGAACCCGATGCCTCCTTGTAACACCATTCGGAATTCCTCCGTAGCTCCACGGCCTCCGGGATCACTCCCCAATTCCCAGGCGGGTAGGCGGGCCCACAGAAGCCAAGTAAATACGCACACATGCACATTGAACGTGTATATACGGGCGGGCAGCTCTGTGTGCGCCCGCTACCGGTTTACGCGGCGGCCAATCAAAGGCGGTAGGTAAAAAGTATCTTGCACACGGCTCTTATATAAGAGAACAGTCTACCAGCGTCTGATAGATCGGCGCAGTTATCAGGCTATAGATTCAGACGTTTCAACTAGGGTAGTGGTTACCAAGCTTACCCAAGACCTGCATATTGTGGTTTTATAATAGTAATAGGAAAAATCCTTTTAGCCACGAATGCGCTACTTTATATTTCTAATTAATACATAACCAAATGACTCTATTTTGTTTAACTACACAATGGAAACGTATTGTAGTGATTTTAACTCTCCTCATGTGACTCAAGTCTTAAGTAATATTTCCGATGTTACTAAAATTATTTTGTGTTGTAAAAATTGAATACAATATCTTATTAGGTACTTCTCTTCTAGTCATACTAAATAGAGGATTCAACCACATTTGAATACATTTCCAAAAAAATTAAAAACAGACAGTTAAAAAAAGAATAGTCAGAAACAAATTTGAGTATATGTCGCCAACTCATAGCACAACACGTGCACATGGCAAGTTTTCACATGCATTAAAAAAATACAGCTACCGTGCACCAATCAGGGCGCAGAGGCGTGGCGCGTAACCCGGGGGCGATTGTTGTTGCGCGTTCGAAAGACGAACGTTCCTTTTTTGAATTCATTCGGATAAGCGCGCGCGTGGGTGGGACTTTCTATCGCCCGCGGTGATTTCACCCGTGGGACGGCGGCAATGCATCAAACATTACTAGACTGTAATAGGCAGGCTAAGCAACGAACGCCGGTGTGGGCAAATTCATGAGCAATTATGCGCAGTCACTTCTGTGACGGATGACTTGTTCCAGTGTGGTCTCGTTTCACGCTTCGCTTGGCGCGGAAATCTCGGCGTCTTGGCTATTGATTGGCCGCGATCGACGATACCTCGTGTTAGTAACGATACGAGTTTATTTATTCTGTTTCGTTTATGTAACGCGTCAGTGTTGTAACGTTATTTTAAGCAACGGCCACCACTACCGCAAGTGAAAAAGTCCAGCTTGAAAGTAGTCTGTAGAGCGAAACTATGTATGTTCAGTGGACTTCGTAGTTTAGAGTCAACTATACCTACGGGTTTCACTGATAGTGATGTTTGCCGCATATAAACGGCCGCGTAGGAGAAACGGACACGGACAAAAAAACCTTAAGCACTCAAAATCTCCGTCCGCGCAACAAACAACAGGTCCGATGTCTAACTTCCTAAGCACACACGCTTAGAAAAAAAAGCAGGTAGACGCGTCACCTGTGGCGCTTCGCCGCAAACATTCGGCTACGGCCGTCGATCAAGCAAACAAACGGCGCGAAATGACCTCAACAAACATTCTCAATGGACGCGTAGATTAGAATGAATGGGGGGCTGCCTTAATGAAATGCCGTGGCACACACTGCCAATCGCAACTAGCGACATCCTCATCGTCATAAACCTTGACGATCGTTAAAGCCACCAAAAGACGATTGCACTGGAGTGTACATTCGAATTGTCGTCAACTGTACACGCGTATCTTAAACATCAACATACGATTTATAACGAAAGGAACGCGTTATAATTAACATTTTATTTCCGATAGTAGTCTACCCCAAAAATTTCATAAAATATTTAAATTAGATTACCGTCCATTCCATTCTTTCCAATGAAAACACTATAAGATGTGTGAAGAGAGAATGTAACGTAAGCAAAAAGCAACCTGGCCAAATTTCTCGCGTAATATTGTTAAATCTCACTGTTCGCGTAATATTGTTAAAGAGAAAACCTTCGAACGCATATACCAAGAACTAAACTAGATAGAGAAACAATGGTGTTCCCGCGTGAATATTATTAAACACAGGCCTGTGAGAATATTATTATTTGCCGTAAAATCTATCGCGGAATAATGTTATCAGGCGTAAGAATTACCTGTCGGATAATCCTCAAAGGAGACCACGCACAAAGCAATTACCAGTGCTCAGTCCGTGTGCAAACAAAACAACGATAAGATATCTATGTACAAAAAAAAGAAGAAAAAACAACCCCGACATTATGTAGCGTCTTAATAGTAACTTGTGCAACCTTTTGTTGCAAAGGAGTTATTTGCGAGCGGTTTGGTTAAACGTAAAAAAAAATTGCAAACTATAACCTCTTTTGTTCTTGTTATCTGTTAACATAAGGTTATAAGATGAAAGAACATTTTTAAATAATTCACAACTTGTAGTTTTGCTTAAATATCCCCAATTATGTCCATTTATTCAAATTTCAAACGCTTAACAAAAATAATACAATATTAAAGTACTAATATTCAACGGTTAAACTTGTATCAAGTTATCAAAAAATCTAACTTCGCGATTCCATGGATTCATAAAAAAACACTTGATATTTAAGAAATTTAAAAAGGATAAACTGATGAAATAGAACACAGAACGGGGTTCCGAGAGAAGAGATTCTATTTGAGGTTCACGTCAGTCGGACCGTATGGCGCTCGTGGTTGGCGCTCTATTTGTTGATATTTAACACATCCCAAGAAAGGAATTCGTTTATCTAGGTGTCGCTGAGGTTACCAACAGATAAGCTTGGCCGAAACTCGACCAGCCTTTGTCTTTTATCTCGTGCAAACACAGGTTTCCTGCCTTCGTTTCCATGTCTGTGAGTTGTTTGGGACAAATCGAGTGTGTTGGATTTCGTTATGTACCAAATGCGAGGCGATTGTTGACTCTCCACTTGTATGGTTTGTGTGGCAATAATCGTTTGGAGGTGCGTATGTATCTCACGCTGATAATGCGATCTGACAAGGCTCAAAAACGAGAAGTAATGAGAAAAGAAAAGTAATGTTGGTTATTATATAATATGTATATGTATCTATATTAAATATACTATCCCTCGTAATGGCGAGTAATGATGGAGTCAAAAGTCTAGCAGAGCAAGATCGTTTTTCTAATTCTATATAAACTTCTATTTAAACTTGTTTGAGATTTAGTCATCGTAAAGGAATTAGTTGTTGATTAATTAGTTATTTAAAATTATTACATTTTATTCTGTATATAATACCTACTGATAGGTACATAAATTCTGAAATCTCATAATCAAATTCTGAATCGTACACCGAATTTTACTCTGAACAAGGTAAAAAAAGGCTCAAATATGCAACAGCGCAGCGTTTCAACTGTCGACAAGACTTTTTCAATTAAAAACTATCCATTTAATTCAACGTGCATGGGTCGTTTAGTTAGAAGAAATGTTAAAAACCAATTCAATGCAAATTCATGTATAAAAATATAGATACAACCGTATACTCGAATGGGAATTGATTTGGCGTTATCATTGAGTAGTTAAATGAAGTCATTAATAGAAGCATAGTATAACAGTGACTGGAACTTTTACTGACGATTTGATGATTTCATATTTTCATACGTCCAAAAATGTACGTTCGATGAATGCCAAAGTTCAGAGGTACTTGTTATCGAGATATTTATTAATTTACTTTATTGCAAACTAACAGAAACAAAGAATAAAACAAAACTTTACAAAAGACTGCAAAATTCGTATAACTATTAAGTAGCAAGTTTATTAGGACATAATATATTATTAGTTATTCGTAACTTGGAAGTAGGCAAGTCCCCGTTAGAAAGCCCTCTGATAGACATTACCTCTGTTATCATTTATTATCATCGTTAACATTTTATCATCAAGCAACATTTCACACTTTTGTTCTTCGCGATGTGTTAAAATAGCTATTCTGCTGTAAGAGAGATTTCCGTCTTCATTTCATGGACCTTACCGGCGTTGTTGAAAGGGACCCAAAACCAGCGCCCCGTGGCGAGACGCCGCCATTTTAAACGATCTTCATAGGAATTTATCAATACATATTATAAGCTTGAAGTAAAAAAGAGATGGTCGAATAAATTAACTTAACAGTGGTAAGGAATTAACCCTTACAGGCGGAACCCTTATGAAGCATAGCTCACTTTTGTCATGGACAATCTTAGTCAATATCTACACAATCTTAGTAAAAAATGATAATTTTTTTTGCGAATGACGATGATTTCAAAATTTTATATATATTTCAATATATATACGATTTCGAAGTGTAATAATATAATGCCTCTTTTGTTATATGCTGTGTACAATAAAGTGTATAAATAAATATGATTCTAAAGGCTTGTTGCCAAAAAAACGAATGAAAAGAAAGGTTCAGTGATTTTTTTTTTTAAAAAAAATATCATGATCATGATAGAGAGATGTCAATTCTCTGCCTACGACCTTTATTTAGATTAAAGGTATTTTCATTTTCCCGAAAAGTAATAAGGGCGAATTTAAATAAGATCATCAAATGTAAACGTGAAAAAATCCTCAAACGAGTTTGAACAAATTTTATGGTATTCGCGTAAATTAACGTAAAAATGAAAAAACTAAAAAATGCACCAAAGTGCGGTAGATTTCTTCTGCGGAAAAGTAAACCTGCTCATAAGCATACAATTTGCATTATTTGCCATCTTGAACCTCAATTTGAAACGAAGAAGGCGCGTGCTAACAACCCGCTACTGTCTTACGTGTTATAGTCTAAGAGCCTAACAATATTTTCTTAACAAATTTATAAGAACAAAATAACTACGTCATTTTTGTAACTTCAGAGTTTTTATTTATGTTTTATAAAATTCAAGAAAAACGAATGATATTATAAATCGTAAAAAAAAATTAAGTCCGTAATGCGTGTAATTATATTATTATTAACATCAAATACGTAGTTTTGAGATACATTTGCTCTTTATAACAGCATAAAGGTCTCAATCAACGAAAGTTAATATTAGAGCTGTTAGGATTTAAGTATCATAGTTAATTCTTCACACGATTCATTTTTAAAAGAATAGTTGGTCGAGGATAACTCTTAATGTGAAACGTCAAGCTCTCCGACTATAAAATCCATCTGGCAGTAATTACGGGCGTAAATTCGTTTGAACCTTGAGGCAAATCGTAAAGCTGTCCGAATTCGTGTCGACTCTTTCAACCCTCGAAGGAATGATTTAAAACTATATCATAATCTTAAAAACATGAAACATGTAAGAAATTAGGTACCTACTGCACAGATATTATCTAGAAAGGAGAAATACTAGACGAGTAGTTCAGTGTTTAAACTATTGTTATAATTATAGGTTTCCCTTGTATATAATCTAAACTACAAAATATACGATAAATTGCATAACATTTATTTCAAAAAAGCTTCATATTTTTATAGCTACACCTTGTTTTGTACATTTAAATTAAATGAAACTACTTTACGGATTTTATCGCGTTTATTTATTTTGAAACGTCGGAAATTAAATCAAAATAAAAAAAAACGCGAAAATCCGTAAAGTAGTTTCATTTAATATATTGTATAATATTCGCGTAAAATCAAGAAAACAACATACATTTTAATTGTAAATTATTGATATTCTTTATTTATCTGCCTTTATAATTATAGATATTTTTTTTAATACTTAACTAAAATATTGCGAAGGGTTATTAATCAATAAAAGAAATTTAACTATTTATGTATAACTATGTAAGATACTAAATTAGATAACAGAATGAAGTGTACTTATGAAGAATACGAAGAATACGTTATGCGTTATATTTACTCATCTTTCTGAGAGGATTATCATGAGCGTAAATTTTATAAATCTTCCTTTTTATTCGATAAAAGGGTCACGTAAATGAATAAGCGATATATTATTGTTCAGAAACGTACGGTCAAACCATCAGTCTTTTCTTTTTTATTGCCAGTGCACTATGGACTTTAATTATAAACTCTATGCTTACAATTATTATTCACCTCTGTGGCTGTTTAACTCACGACCGTGTCTCTAAAATTGTATTCAATTTATTAAAATTGCTCTTTAATTTATTGAAATTGCGTCTGCTGTACACAATTTGCATACTCTGTACATCGTCGGTTGAAATTTAATTACTGTTCTACTCGTCGAGTTTTCTCGACACGTAATTATGAAGAAATTATTATTAACGTAAAGTAAATGCGTTTTTCATTGGACATAAATACTAGCAACTAAATTAAAAGTCAACTCATTCGAAAAAAGAATATAGCATGGGAATTTCTTCGTGGAGTGACAAAAGATGCACCTAATGATGCGTGCAATCTAACTTTCGCACGCTACAAAGGCAAAGATCGATAGTACTGGCCGCTCCTTAATGCCTAATCGTTCGAGAGGCTGCTTTTTTGTCAGGATCGTTCTCCTTTTATTGTTAAATAAACCATAAATCGTTATGAAATGGCCGCCATTGGACAATGAATGGGCCATCGAAGTCGGGTGCGAAGTTTTCGTTGACAAAAAACACCGTGACAAGGACCAATATTTCTGAATATCGTTTTTTTTTAATCCTAGCGCCGAGAGAGGCGCTAAAGGCAATTTAAATGATAATGCCTTCGATTATTCAAATCTGATATGTATATGGATTTTTAAGGACGGAAAAATTTATTTATAGACTAGTGCCATTTAAATATCGAAACTGTAACTAATGAAGTACTTATAGAAAAATGAGAATTGTTTTTTAAAGAAGAAAACAACTATAGAAAAATATACGAGAAAAACATTCATAAGAAATAAGACCACATTAAGATAATTTTTGATTGCACACAGATATCGATAAAAAGAAAAAGATATTGCAGATCCAATCGTTCGCTTGCTTAATCTGCTTCGTGTCCTTAAAGTTTTAATTTGTGCTACAAGACCGTTTGCAGGAATGGCTTGCACCCGCAAATTAAGAAAGCTTCGATCGGTGGTTAATCGTAAAGACATGGGAATACTCACTGTTGTCAGGGCGCCAACGGACGCGTATATTGTTTATTAATGCTTATCCCCTTCGCGTATAAATTACTCGGGCGCGCGGCGTGGACTGTGCGAGTGCGGTGGAAAAAACGGTAATTTATTAGTGTCGACTCCCCGTGTTCGCGCTCCTAACGAGTGAAGTGTGCTTCGGTGGAATCGACCGCGTGGTGCGCAGCTCGAGCGGCAGTGGCCTGAGGAAGAATAACCCCAGGAGTCGATGGGAGCTGCCACCGCTTCCGAACGCCCCGCTCCCCCCCGCGCCGGCCCCCTCGCCCGATACAGATCACGCATTCTACGAATACCTTTGGGCACGGCGCTCTCCGCAGCCTGCCGTCCCTTTCCCGCGCGCCGGAGACCAGCGCCCCGGTCCCAGTGGACGCTTCACCGCGGACGCTCCAAGTTCACCAGCTAAAGGTCGGCGCGGCGCGAGCGTGGAACTCGAGCGCGTCGGAGTAGCTGCGCGCGCGCAACACCGGCAGCGCCCACATGACCGCGCCGTCCGCCTCGGTGCGCACCGACCAAACGCCGTCCGTCCCGCTCGCGCGCACCGCCCCGCCGGTGGCTCTCGCTCGCGCGCGGAACACGTATCTAGTTCCGTCGAGACGCGGAGCGCGGTAGCCGTCGGGCGGTTTTTTTTTCACTCGTCCTCCGCTCTCCTCTCCTCGTTTTAATAAATTCGTGGTGCGTTTCGGGGCGTCGTCGAGCGAGACGACCGATTGCCACCGGGTTACGCCTTCCGCGCTCCACGCTATGTAGGTTGCCGTTCGCCTCCGCACCGGCGGGTCGACGTATAAAACATAATAACGCGGTAAATACGGGGCCCGTTCGCGCCGCGGTCAGTTATTTATGTTTGCCCGCGGCTACCGGGCTACGCGCCGCACACCGTATTGCGCTCTCGACGCCGTGGACGCGCCGCGCTATCGCCAATTGACCACTCGATTCTCATTTTGTGCACGACAAAAGTGCTCCGACGATATTTATAGACAATTCGTCTGATACTATAACGTCTTCGAACGTCACTTATTTATAAAGCACGTTCGGCTTACTAACCTATAGTATTAATGACGGTATAATTAAAGAAGGAACTTTTTGTTTCTTTTAAAAATTTTAGTTTTATATATTACTCAAATTATTTTATAAGGAACCTATATTTAACAAATTAAGCTAACAAGTTACTCTAACTTTAACAAGATTATAACTTTAATGAGCCAATAAAATGTCATAAAACAGTTAAAATCACTGACTTACTTTAACATTTTCCCCAGACACCACTCTTAATTGTACTTTAACATGCGATAATACCATAACACAATTGAAATTATACAAAGAAACCGAAAGTTCATACTGGGCCAAACCTTAAAAATGCAACAACAGCGTCCACAGTTCCATTCTAAAGCCGTCGTAATCCTAATAGATGTATGCGAAAGAACAAGGGATATCCATCACAATAGTTAAGAAAACACAACGAACGTAGCAATTCATACAAACGGCGTCCGCTGTCACAGTAACGGTATCCCGCGACACGCGTTGAAAGTCGTCAAACAATTCTTTCAAGCCCGACGAATAATACGTAAAGACGAAAACGCATTCTAGCCCTCCACGCCTGTTAAGCGCCAATCGCGCGGACAACGGCCGAAGACAATGGGGAGCATCAAAACATATTAGGGTGGCATTGTTTACGGGATCGGGGCCTATTATGAGACGACGGGAAGCTTATTGAGACATTGTTCCAGCTGAATGTGCCAAACAACGGGCCATAACCGAGTTTGCTGACATCGGACGCTTTATGGCGGGACAAAGCTTGGTCGAATCGACGGACAGGCCCGTGGACCACACCGAATCGGGGACCCGTCGCTAATTTCCCAATCGCGACCCTGTACAACGATGTCGGGATGCATTTTTATAATTGCGTCCCAGTGGAAGCCGTAAATCACCTCGCACCAGACTCTGATGCTTTGCTCTTCGCAAGTGCAAAATTGTAAACCGCTGGTTGATTTTGAAGCGCTGGAATAAGCCAAATAATGGTGATTTAAACTCATTTCTAGTTCACCTGATGGTAGCTAGTGACGCGCTATATGCTGAGCGTACTAGTCATTTAGCAAGCACTGGTACTATTTTACAAACTTTCAAACGACTTCAAAAAAAGTAGTGTTCGTTAACTCAGGACTTCTTCGTTTAAGAATGGATTTTGAAAATTATTTTTGAACTGAATTCGGTTTAATAGTTTTTTTTGCCATACAGTCCCACATTAATATTGGACAATGGAAGGGATACAAGGACATTAAGGAGCCTCAAAATAGTTGGTATTGGACCTTGAAATCGGGATATAAGAACGTCAACAAACCCTCAAAATAAAATAGAAAATGTATATAATATAGATTTTGTTTTTTGTCAATAAAAAAATGCTTGTATAGCGTTTAATTTGTTCTCTTAGTGTCTATGCTCACTGGATGGAATATTTAAATCAACGGGAAATTTTATAACACACTTTAAACGTGATAATTTCGGTGAAATAGTTCTATCAATAATATGCTATATAAGCGACAATTCCAGAAACTATTATATCCGGAATTTGTTTTATTTAAACATGATGTATCGGTATTAGCGAAGCTTAAAGCTTAAACATCTGAATTCGCAATACATATTGACGCTTTTAATCGTAAAAAAGCTTACATTTAATACGTGAGTTGAAAGTTGAAAAAGTTTTGATGAATTAACAATGATATTTATTCTATTTTTAATTTTCTAGTTTTAAATATATAACGGTTTTTATACTTCCATAGCAGCCCTGGCCTATAATTATAATATTAGATGATATGTTTTAATAAATCTCTAATGTGATGCGTTTTAATAATCCCGTCTCCGACATTTTCTTCAATCGTTATGAACAGTTTCGATATTTTTGCTGTTTTTCGTTTTTCGTTCACTGTAACAAATTCAGAATAAGAGAACAACGTTAGAATTACGATAATTTCTGAAATTATCGTAATACACAGCCTCAAATACGGAGCCATCGGCTAAAATAAATATTAAGAGTTAAGCGTTCCGAAATCAATTCGGGAAAGGTCTTGAGATTATTTCGAATTGAAATATATCACTTATCTGTGTCATCTGGCGTGGCGGCCGAATCGAAGGTGAACCGCGGTGTTTTGCCGACGTTTTAAATTACCATCCACCTCGAAAAAAACAACCATAGGTCTGTAGCCGATTGTAATTAGTTAGTTGTAATTAATTTTCCGATGTCGATAAATTTATCGACAGTGTCGATAAATTTATCGACATCGGAAAATTCCTGTGGGATGTACTCGTATGTTTCGATATCTGATTCGGGTAAGCTACCGGTGCCATAAAAGCGAACGTAATCTCTAGACAGATCGTCTTTACCCTTATAAAGCATAGACCAGCCATCGTAACAATATTTGGCTCATCACTAGCCCCACAATGCGTGGATCGGGCCGCGCTTTGTCTTTTGAGCCGGTGACGCAATTCATGCCGAAACGGAACAATAAAATCTAAACGAAGGCCAAACCGAAGTGAACCTTAGCGGCAGGAGTTTAGGGCCCAGTTCGGCTCGACGCCGCGCGCTAAAGAGCTGCCCCGTTGACAACAGAGACATCGACGCTGCTCTTTTTTGAATATCGCTTGTTAAAGGCGTTCTCATGGCGCTGTGAGAACTCGACGCGGCCGCGGCTCGAATTCCTCGGCCCATTCAACGCGCTCTTTGTGTCAGTTTGTAACACGTAAGCCTGTCACTGATCGCAATTGTACTCCGGCACGCGGAATCGGTGGAAGCGGGATCAGATATCCGTCTGGACCCTGCGGCGGCGCCGAGCACAATGCCTCCAGCTGACCGTTATTTCGGAAGAAGACCATTCGAATGGTTAAGGCAAACGGTTCGCCCACATTCGCCTTCGGAAAGAACACAAACCCAGACCAGCCAGAATACGGTTTATCGATGTTAGTAATCGAATTTGTAAAAATGAATAACGAAAAAACACCGAGATCTCCTCCCGAGAAGTCCGCGCGGATTTGAAATCGATTAAAAAAAATTACAAATGGAATTTCAATGCAAATAACACGGAATGATTAATGCGACTAATCTGCAATCTGCCACCGAATTCCACGGCGAATTCCCTGGAGACGCTTTACGAGTGGCCAGTAAATTATACGGCGACGCTGGCTGGTCTCTCATATTTCTTTTTTGCTAAGCTTTAAAAAAAACACGCTAAACTCGATTTAATTCCAATTTCAAATTAATAGAATCACGGATTTAAAAAAAGATAATATGCAAAACACTCACCCATTTCAGCCGGCACCATTTTCACCAAACAAATAACAGCAAGAAAATCGAAGGAATTAATCGAATATAACTTTTATTGAGAGCGGAGCGAATCCGAAAAGTGCTGTGATACGACCGTGTGAGGAGGAAATAGTGACAATATTGAAGGCGACTCTTTCGCCACAAATGTGCGACTTTACAGGACCGCGCCGAATCAAAGTGATACCGAAAGAGACATCGGACAAGACATTGGCGCTCGGCCGAAAAATCGCGCCCCGCAAACGCTCCGCGCAAATAAATAATTCAATTTCGCTCCGCGCCGATTATATTGCGAGCTCTGACCATTCCGTGTTGTGCAGGGGACAATAAAAATGCTAATGGCGGGCCAACTATGTTATAATTTACGGTGCCTGATATCAAGACAGTCTTCGGCGGTCGTTTTGTTGGGTTTTCTATATTTTTTGCTACTTATAACGTTGTTAGGTGGTAGCGCAGCTTCGATTGTATGCGATATCACCTAATGTTCCGCCTCATTAGCTCTTTGTGTGCCGCACCTACAACCGTAGGTATCCTATCGATAAGTGAACTTGTCGCAACGACGTGAAACACGCTGACATCATTCGCGCGTCCTGTAGAATGGCCTTATGTAAATATTGCTATTAATCATACGAATGTCCTAATGATAACGCCGATAAAGAAGGCGTGTTGATCGATTGTCAAAGGAAACAGCCGAATTATCAGTCACTATTTAAAAATGGCTTTATTCGTATTGTTTGTTTTATTGATGGAAACTAATAAGCAAAGATACAATAAAATACTTTCACTTATTTGTCTTGCTTTGTTGTAAACCAATTATGTTTTAATAAAGATGATGCATGTGCATACTGCGCGGCGGTCAAAAATTGTTGAACTTTAAATTATGACATATCTAAGTAAATATGATACATGATAAAGAATGTAGGGTACGGAAAGAGGTAGCACTCAATAGAAATGCAATTTAATTAAATCAATTGCATAATTTGAGTGCCTCAGTTTCAGTGCAATTTTCTTTTTCATACAATTTTCTTCTTATTTGTATGTAATATTATTGGTTGTAAACATATAAAGAGACCTAATCCTAATAAGTTCTCTATACTCTAATATAGTCCGTATTTTAAAACCGTGTATATATTACAATATCATCTTATTATTTACTGTTAAGGCGACATTTATGTAACAATTTATGTTTCTCCATATTTGTAGAAAATAGTGAACAAGTTTTTAATATATTTTGATAATTTGAAAATATAGCCCATTTTATTTTAAGCATGCATCTAAAACAAAAATACAAGTAGACAAAGATATTGTAGTAAGATATTTTACTACAAAATCTTTTATGAATTTAATTCTAGCTCCTAAAGTACAACAGAATTTCAAACCATAATTGTATTGTAGTGAACATAATCTTATTAACTTTATTTATGCTAGTATTGTATTAGGTCATAACCTATACAATTGTTCAAAATTTGGGTTTGTATACTAGTTTAATTTTTTATGAAGCCTTGTAGAGGAATTGTATAGGAAAATGTTAGTATTATAGAGGAAAAAGGGAACTGTGAAAATCTCTGTGTGACGATTACATACCCTTTGCCAATGAACTCTTTCTCTCTCTCTCTCTCTCTCTCTCTGTGAGAAAATTTGGTGCTTAAATTTTAACGACCTCCGACTATTAATTGTGTTACAAAATGTAAAAATATCTTATAACAAGCACAGTTTCAAGTATTTATTAAATACTTATTGAAATAATTAAAGACTACCCGGATGCCAGTCGATTTTTTTATTAGCATAAAATTTATTATTCGTTAGATCTATACAGCATATTTTATAAGCATAGTTTGCTAAGATAACTATTCGTCTTCTTATTCGAAATCAACTTTAATTGAAATGTCACCAAGATCATTTTAATGTCATTTTTTATGTTATTTCCTTCCTTATCTGTGACGGGTCACAGATGTTTCTATTCTCCATACCAACAATCGACTACTATGACTAAAATCAATTTGCATGTTATTTAATGAACGCATTATGCAGATTTAATCGTTTCTAGTCCTCGAATGCCGATAAATCTGTAAAAGCGAGACAAATAAGTCATAACATTGGAAGACCAGGTAAGGACAAGGCCAGATTGGTCTTTTTTTTTACTTTAGCATCGGTACAAGAATCGACACGTTGCGAAATAATAAAAGAAGCTTGTGTTTTAGTGTGGACCGTCTTCTGAACCAGTTTCCTGTTGAGATTTTAAGTCAATTCGATCTATTCACGAGTAATATAATAATATCGACATATTTATATAACAATAAAAAATTGTAATAGCACACATTACGGCGGTGTTCGTAAAATCATAAATTGAGTAATTACTTTCTATACGATCTCACAGTCTACTTTGATCTCTAAGTATAATCCCAATTTAGATCTCTACTCATAAAGAAAAAAAACCGGTTGGAAATGTGCATCTCATTTAATTTGCAATTTTAATTCAACCAGCGAACTTTGTCAATGTAAACGCGGAAATGTTTCATGTTGATATGAATATTACAGTGAATATAATATAAATTGAAACTGCTATGAACACTTCGGGATTTTTTAGGACTCCATAAATTACAGAGAGCAAAATAGATAATTTTTAGGTATTTAATTCTCGCTCATAAAAAGGTTTACTATCTCTGATATGGCAGGATTTTGAAGACGTTAAAATTAAGCATTAGAAAATATTTCTTCATCTGTTAGAAAATGTTCTGGTAACTTCTTCAACTGATTAATGTATCTTGCTGCAGCAGTTGCTGTTGATACCTAGTTCTAGCATCATCCTATTACTTATTTAAGACTGAGCCAAGTCACTTTTTTTAATTCGATTATTATATATTGATACTTCCGTTACTGCCTCATTGCATATCAAAAGTACCTTGTCCAACCAATTAGTTACGTTAGCGGAACATGAAAGACATAAATATTGCTTGATACTTTTGGCTTATAAGCTGTTGTGTGGAAAGCAAAGCAAAAAAAAAACTAATTTTTCATTTAAGATTTTAATATTATTTAAATCATTTTAAACATCACAAAAATTAAAATTAAAATAGTATTCCATTCCAACTGGTAATAACACATTAAATAGGAACATGTTTAAATACTTAGTGACATGAACGACAGCACAGAAGACCGAAACGAATCTTTCTTGCTAATTCCTTTCGTCTGGTGTGTGAGGCAGCCAAAGCCCTCTTTACTAATTATTTGCCAAAACCCATGTCCACGTTAATCACTTAATATCAGGTGAATCACCCATTATCATCTCTCATAAAAATGTTTTAGGCATCATCATCGTCCTCTTGCTCTCATCACGCTTAAGTGGAGTCATCATAGTCATGATTTAGCAGTATTGGATACTACTGCGCCAGCAGAATACTCGGAGATCGCGAGGAATCTAGAAGTCGCGCATCTGTTCCGATCCTCAGGCAGGCTAGAAATGTTATCACACAATAATTAACTATATCATATAATAACGCTATCATAATTATAATTGCTGCAGAATTTTATAATATGAGGTTATTTTTTGTGAAGATATTTATTTATCACTAAACACAAGTAGATAATATTTTTAATATATATATTATTTTATAAACACCTACTCCTTATATTTCTTTGTTAATCTAAGTACCTTGAGTTATCGAAATAATTATGTGGCCAAATCTTTTGTCTCGTAAAATATATTGTCTCTTTAGCAAGGTCGATGCAAAACATTTCGAACCACTATCTTTTATCTTCGGAAAACATAATTCACACTGATTTTCATATTCATTGTCAATAAATTTTGTCTTCAACACGCCTTTTAACACCATTAGAGGCAAATGTACGCTGTATTATGTTACATTCGTCGCTCACCTCGCCACCATTGAATCATTATTGACACATACAACTATTTATTTGTGGTTATTTCTACACCTTAGATATTTTAACGTGTATTTTCATTTTATCATTTATAAAGTGTTTCTTAAACTTGTATAAGTCGAAGACCCCTATCCTTGAATGTCGTTAGTAAGGTTAACAATTATACAGTTTAACAACAGAATAAGTCTGGGGGGATCAGAGATAAAAGTTTCTCGAAGATTGAAGACTTTTAATTAAATATTAAAAATAGAATTAGAAACTATGATTGAAAAGAAATCTCAGGTTTGAATAAATTTAAAGATATAAAATAGTATACATATTAGGTTGGGGAAAAACTCTTTTCGAAAATAGTATGTATGTACTTATAATGTAATCTCTTTGGCCATTTGTATCTGGCTGGTTTTGGTATCATTAAAAAGTTTACATTTTAAAAAGATTCAAATTAGGAAAATGTGTGATTTTCATTTGTTTTTCTTAGATACTGTTAAGATGAGTGATTGTAATGAAGAAATTCGATACATTTTAAAATTTTAGGACAAAAAAGGTAAAAATGCAATGCAAGCCGCGAAAAAAAATTGTGATATTAATGGACCTAGTGTGTGTAAGAGTAGCACAATTTTGGTTTAAGAGTTTTCAATCCGGAAATTCTGATGCCAAAGATGCACCTCGCTCAGGGCGCCCTGTTACGGATAAAATGGATGCCATTTTTGAAAAAGTGAAGCAAGATCGGCATATCAGTAGTTTCAATTTAGCTGAAGAACTGGGAATTGACCACAAAACCGTCTTTGGCGCATTTGAAATAAGGTGGGTACACAAAAAAGCTCGATATTTGGATGAGCTCACTGAAAGAAACCTAATGAACCGTGTACTCATTTGTGATTCTTTATTACGACGTAATTAAACCGAGCCAGTTTTGAAAAATGATAATCTTTTTTTTATGTGAATAGTTGCCAAACGAGCAGACGGACCGCCGCCCATGGACATCTGCTACACCCGGGGGTTACAGATGCGTTGACAACCTTTTGAAAATTGGGCTCCGGCTACCTCACTCACTAGACGAAACGCGAAAGTAGTTGTCGCACTTTACGCTGGTCTTCTGTGGGGTCGTGGTACTTACCC